CAGGGGTGGCCAACATGAGGCCCGCGGGCCGCATGCGGCCCGCCGGGAGTCGTGTTGCGGCCCGCGGAGCTAGGTCAAATGAACATAAATGTTAACTTTATTGTACATATCACCAAATGAACATTAGAAAAGTTAAGAAGATTTGGAAGAGTTCTATGAAACGTATTTGGACAAGGATAAATATCTTGCGTTTTACAAACATGCTCTGTCAATGGTTTCGCTATTTGGAAACACTTATGCGTGTGAACAACTTTTTAGTCGTATGAAGTACATCAAATCACAAGTGAGAACACGAATTACTGATGTTCATTTGGAAAACTGTTTGCGTGTAGCGACTACATCAGTCCAGATCAATTTTGATGCACTTACTTGTTAGTTCTGTAAAACAAAGTCAGATGTCTCACTTTTAAATATTTTTAAATTGTCTAATAAATATGTTTCTCGGTTATTAAATAAATGATTCTCAGTTATGTTTTATTTTCTTCAAAAAAATAAATATACCTATTTTTTGTGTTTTTTTTTACATTAAACCAGGCAAGTGTTTGACCACGATTTCACCTACTGGAAAGCAACGATGCGGTTGAAGCTGTAGCACGCTTGCTTGTTTACTTTAATTTAAAAAAAAATTAGGTGCGTGGCCCGGCAGGAAATATTATTTATGAAATTTGGCCTGCCTGCTAAAAAGGTTGGCCACCCCTGTTTTAGTGTTTAATATTTATGTTAAATTTTTTGGATTAAATTTTTTACGTTAAATGCAATCATGTATCAGGAAGGAAAATATTTGTCAGCCTATTACACATATTATCTATGTCAGTTTTGATACAGATTCATTTGTTAACATTATTTAATAGATTTTTAATGAAACACCCAAATTATTGATAATTTGATAACCATTTTGTATTTAACACTTTCAATAATAGTAAATTTAATTGCATTCTCAAAGAAAAAAATCAATCACAATTGTAACATTTAAACTTATTAAGCCATTAAAAGAAAGAAATAATACATTATTACTGAAAACTGTGTTTAGAATTATGTAATCTTTATGTAGAAATGAATTGTTTAAATTATTAGGAAAGTGAACAATTTATAATTCAATTAAAATAAAAGCAATTCTTCATTAAATAGTTTTCAGCTTTATTAAAATGATTTATATTTATTCTGTATTTGAAATCCCTAGCCTAGTAATTCTCTCAACTCCTACACAAAATAAAGCAAATAAAAATATCTTTATATGATGTGAACATTTGAAGTTTTTACAAAACTTTATTCACAACTGAGAGCAAACTGCTTGGCATTTCATTATATTTCTTTTACTTTTTTTTTAACAAAATAAAACAATTTTTATAGTTAACTTTTTTTTTAAGTAGCTAAATATTAAAAACTTTAAACATTTTAATAAAACAATTTTATCAATGTAAATAAAATTTATATCTAACAAACAATAGTTATTAAAAAATTTCTTACAGTTTTCCAACCAACTTGTGGACCCAAATCTTTAAAATATAACAAACGGCCATCTTGCAGATTTAGTGTTTTTAAAACATTTTCATCAGCTAAGTATTTTCCAGCTATAAAATAATATTATGTATAAAAAGTAAAAAGGTTTATAAAAAAAGATATAGTATACAGTGTAATAATTGAAAATATTCAAAAATGAAGATACATTATTTGTTATTCTATCTTAATTCAAGATAAAAGATTTCAATTTTACAAATCTTATTCAGAAATGCACAATAGTTACAATGTTCATTATAGAATTAAACAATTATAAAGAACATAATATAACAAAAAAAAACTTTCAATAAAATTGTTTGTCTACATTAGAAGATCAACTTCTATAATAAGTCTATCATGAATCCACATCAAAATCTTTATTAATAAACAAAATAACAACAAAGAAAATGTAACGAAAAGTGAATTTTAAAAAATTAATAATGCAAAAGTATATATATTATTCAAGTAATGAAAAATAATTAAATTTTTTATAACATCAACAGAAAAATAATATTTTTGAAATGTATTTACTTACAAGGTTTTGTTTTTAAAGCTTGTCTTTCAGGATAATATTTTCTCCCTAAAATTTAAACATTTTTAATAAATTATATTTATTTGTAATTAAAATATTTGAAAATTTATACTTACTCAATTTATATATTTCCTTTTTGACTTCATGTATAGTTGCAGATGGAGAAATCTAAATAAATTATAACTGAATTGTATTACTATAATTATAGTAATGAAAATAAAAATATACTAAAATTATCTAAAAATTGAAACTTTGACATATTAGAAATTTGTCTACTAATCAAACTGATTTAAATACATAAATCAAAATATAATCCAGTTAATTTGATAAATCACTAAGAAATTGTTTTGTATCAAAGTAATAATGATTTATTTACATTAAAAAATAATAATATGCTAAATTGAGAAGAAAATATTGAAATCATTTAATGATAAATTGAAATAAGTAATACAATTATTTATTATAAATCTTTAATTTTATTCAAATAGTAGTGCCAAACAATTTTTTATTTTTATTGGGTTATGTTTAGACTAATTAATACAGCCCGATAAAATATTCAGTAGATCATTTGGTACTATAAGTGTATCAGGTTGTTGCATGTGCTAGTATAAATCTATATTATTTAATAATAATAGGTACTTAGCATCCACTAGAAATCTGATCAAGATATAAATGATTCAATTGTTTGTTACAGTTTACTGAAATTGTGAAATTTTTAGTAAACAGACAATAAAATTATAAGGAAACAACCATTCTCAAGTCAAGAACCTGATAATTTTATGAGCTGTATATAGTGAATCATTATGTGGTTTCTATTATTATTAAATTACAGGAGTGAAATGTTCTAATTTGTATTCTTTTAACATGTCTGCTAATATAAATCTATAAATTTGAACAATCTTACAAAATTGAACATATATAATATTTATAAAACCTAATCATTTTCTTAAAACTCCTAAATTTAAAGCTGGTTTTTTAGCAATATTAATTTTTCACCAAAAAGTTGTCTTTTAAAATAAATTTTAATCGATAAGATGACTTCTGTTCTTTATAATTTCTTCAGAACAAAGAAAATTAATCATTTTGAATTTCTTTGAATGAAACAAGATTCATTCTTTAGTGATTTTTCTCAATTAACATGAATCATTAAATTATTCAAATTGAATTTTCTACATCTGCTTACAATACAAATCTGTATTATGTATAAAAACATATTTTCCATAAGAAAAAAAAAGAATTTTTACTTCATAAAAAGATTTATAAAAATATCTTTGAAAGCAAGAATATTAAATCTATTAATCAAACTTTATACAACAAATACTTACATTTGACAATGTAACAATATTTTTACCAGTTCTTACATGTAACACCTCGAGCTAAAAATAAAGAAAAGATGAAATAATTACAATCTGTTTATTATAATAATGTGGATATTTCATAAATAAATAAACTTAAAATATCACTAATAATAATCTAAAATTTTATTTATGAATTTAAAACAGATAAAAACAAACTATTAAGTTATTATATTTGCAGATACAGAGAAGACTAAATTTTAACTAATGTATAATAGTCAACTAATTGAAAAACAGATGAATTTAATGTTTAAATACTGATGAAGTATTTAAATTTGTAAAAATTATGATTAATCTAATTAATCAATGCCAAATGATTACTGTAATGGATTGGGCTATTATTCCACTCCAATTAATAATTATATTTCAAGTAATTTGTTACTAGAGATGGCACTTAAAGCCTACCTCTAGTAACAAATTATTTGAAATTTAATTAATAGTAGTAGTGAAAAAATAGCCTGATGCATTATGGCAATCATTTAGCATTCATTAATAATGCTTTATATATGAGAGCTTTATATAAGTAGTCTAATTAATGCTAATGTTTTAGTATACAACTTACAAGTAAATTGTTTATTAACTTGTCACTTGTTTTTACATTTCATATTTAAATTGTCCTCAAGGTAAAATTATACTATATTTAGCAAACCAGAATGAGTTTATCAAGATAGCTTGCTTGGTTAATAATGCATTTGAAAAAAATCTGAGATATACTGGTTTATTGTTATCAAAATTTAATCAGAATTAATAAAACTATTATTATCTACTTTCCATATATTAATAGGACTTATTATACCAATGTGATTAATTGGACAAAAAGAGGTAGCAGTAGTCAAAATTGAAATAGTATTTCTTTATTTTCATCTGTTTTACCTGAAGGCATCTTTTATTTATTTATTTATTTTTTTTGTGTTTTGGACCCTTTATAAATCTACTGAAGAGAAACAATGTTCTAAAAATATTATACAATAAATTACATCCTTATAAAGTCAATAAATTTATAATATATTTTAAACTTTTAAAACTTAAATAAAATGATACAGTTCACAAATAGTAATAAAGACAAACAACAAAAGTACACCTTCCTTGAATCTAGTTTTCATTCCATAATAGTTCAGTATTCTATTCTTCAGAGATTTTAAATTCTTTTTGATAGAGCATCCACTGTAAATATAACTATTGCACAATTGATGGATTTTTTTTTATTTAAACTGCATTAATTCTATTTCTTTGTCCTTTTTATATAAATGTGCTCATATAACTGTCTTTTAAATTTATTTTTTCCCTTTTTACAGAATTTATTAGTAATTCACATCCTTCTTGATTACAATGTTTAGCCACAGCTGAATTTGCATAATTATTTTTTATTGATCATATATGCTCCTTTATATGTATTTTTAACTTTCTTTTTGTTTCTCTCACTTACATTTTATTTTGATCACAACTGCACTCAAAGGAATATACAACTCTTTCTTTCATTATTTTTTTTTGATAGAATATTAAGCATTTTTTGATTAAATTATTTTGTTCTGGTATTAAAGTTTTTTTCTCTTTTTATACATTTTTTAATCTTTTTTGAAAGAATAAATTTTTGGAATAGAAATAAATTTCACAAACTTTCTTTGTTTTAATTTTTTTTATATTTTCATTCTTTAATGCATCATTTAACCATTTATCTAATAATTTTTCAGATAATCATTCAATACGTGTGTGAATTTTGGCAAGCCTGTCCTACCCTGCAATCACTGTCAAGTAGCCATGATAGTTGCATGTATACACTGTTATTGTTGCATTAATGATTTGGCTGATTTCATGAAGATTATAACCAGTGTGAAGTTATGAATGAAAATACCATTAGCTGACAAGAGCAAATACAGAGAGAACCATGCACAGCAGACAGTGGAAAAAGTATTTATTTACATGTAAAAGATACAGATTCTGATGGATTCCAACTCTAAAACAGTATAATGGGCAGTCACCCAAATCTGAAATGTTGGCAGGACAATTACACAATATTGCAAATTATGCAAAGGAGCTGAGCTAGAGTAATATACAACAAGAGTTTCCTAATAAGTAATCTTTAAAAACTAACTTATGCTAAGTGGAAAAAGAGATCAGAGGGTATACACAAGAAATAGTAAGATGGCTGATAGAAAAGAATAGAATACCCGGGATGTACAAACATTATTTATCTTCCATGAGGAGCCATGTGGAACTTCCTTAGACTCACTTTGTGTTTCCATCTTCCTTTTTTCTATGTCCGAGATTCACTACGCCATCACTCCAATAAGTTCATAAATTTTTCTCACTCCAGTTTAGTTTCACTCATCTCTTGGATACTTGACAACACTAAACACTTATCTTCTTCGTCTCACTCCATGAAGACCAGCCAAAAAATGTCCTATACTCCCCACACATGCCCTCAGGTAACATTGCCTTCATTGTTCCTGCAATTCCATAAAGTGGCCTCACCACCCAAGGGAATGGATTAAGGTTAGAAGGTTTTAAAAGAAAGAAAGAACAAAGAAGAAATGCTAAAACCTACAAACTAAACTAAACAGCCACACCAAGATGAGACCTGGATCTACAGGTATGAATGTAAACAAAGGTACAATCATCCCAGTGGAAAATGCCATGGTCTCCAAGGCCAAAGAAAGCACAACAATCATGTAGCAATGTGAAGGTCATACAGGCCCGCCGTAAGCGGGCATGCAAGGCATGCACCGCATGCGGGCGGCATGTCCAGGGGGCAGCAAATCGAGCGATCAGTCACGTAATATTGAAAGTCATTGTCATAATATCCACCCTACTTATAGCATAAGAAATGTCTTCGCATGGAGAAAAAACTCTGACTGGTGCGCAATTACTATATTCTTATTTATATTATAGCGTTAACAGCTCCTCTATTGGCATTTATCAGAATTAAGATGCAATGCGAAACGTCTATCGGCAGGTTGAACCATCCGGCGGCACCCGAAAGCCAAGTAGTACCCATAGTCGTGCTCTATGACAGAAGTTGACAGGACTGGCGAAAATAGGGAATCCCCACAGAGCTTCCTTCTCAGTTTGTACTTGTACACATTCAAACAGTTCTATCGCATATCAAATCGCAATTATTTTGTTAATAGAGAGGTTGCAGCCGATGTTTTCAACGCGAAAACGTGTACGTTCAGCGCTGTTTTCCTATAAGCCTAGAAGTTTGACAATGGTGTTTGGATAATCAGTGGAATCATGCTCGACGTCCCAAACACCATTGCCAAACTTCTAGGCTTATAGGAAAACAGCGCTGAACGTCCGACGTACACGTTTTCGTGTTCAAAATGTCTGCCGCAACCTCTATAATAATTCTTCTGACATGGGTCTAATTTATAATTAATTAATTAATGATATTTTAACTTGGTTAGGATTTAAATCTGAAGCTTAAAGACGATTTGAGTAGTGAAGCAGACATTGACGGTATTGATTTGTTTAATGAAATCAATACTTTAAAGTTGCATTTTCCAGAAAACCAGTCTAATGATCCACAAACCCTATTAGAATAACTTTTTACTATTTAATTTCAACATTTTCGAACACAGCAATAGCACTAAGAATATTACTTACATTGCCAGTTACAGTTGCATTTGGTGAAAGGTCCTTTTCAAAGTTAAAAATTATAGAAAAACTATTTAAGATCAACAATGCACCAGCAAAGACTAAGTACTTTAGCTGTAGTTTCAATTGAATATGTAATCTTAGACAGCTTGGATACAAGAAAATTGATAGCAGATTTCGCAAACATAAAGGCAAGAAGAGTTCAATTTCTGTAGATAAATATTTGTATGGATTTACACTTAAATAAACAAAAATAATTTAGTAATAATAAATAGTTTTTCTTTGTAAAGTATTTATTTTTTTTCACACCCTTATGAGACAACACTAAAAAACCTTTCTGGCAAGCTCAGCATAGGTAGTCGTAGTTAAACAGGGGGTGGCATAATCGGTATTGCACACGGCGTTGAAACAGCTAGCGGCGCCCGAGGTCATGTCAAGTTTTTTGTCTCTGATAAAAGGGAGTTGAGGAGTAGAACAAACCAACAATTTTTAAGGTTTTAGTTTTTATTGTTTTTAAAGATTGTTTCTGCCCCATTGCATATTTTTCAGATATTTTATTATTATTATTAAATAAATTATACATGTCTACACACTCCTCATTATCATCTAGCATTATCCCGCAGATCTTACTTTTATCATAACACTGCACATTCTAGTCCAGTAGAACGTATTCTACATTATGATTTTATATAATATAAGAAATCATGTCAAAGCAAATCATGTCAAATTTTTAAAAATAAAATATAGGGAATAAAGAAAAACAAAGAAAAAAACAAAAAAAGCAAAAGGCAACTATAGTGACTAATTATTTTTATCAGACTTATACTTAAATATAGATATAAGTGTAAAAAGTTCTCTGATGAGTCATGTGACTTTGATGAATTATTATTTTGGTATAATTTGCCATTTTATTTGGTTTATCATTATTAAATATACAGTATATTGAGCTTTTATGAAGTAGATGGAATCAGAATTAATTAATGACTGAGTTGAAATCAGGTTTTTGTTGGTGGTTAATTTAATTTTCTTTTTAACAGTATATTTGAATTATGAGAATATTAAAATATTCTCATTAAAGTTCTATGAAGGAAAAAATATTTATTGATTATGAGTCATATATGGCATTAAAGTATCAGCCTGTTCTGTAAACTAATCTCAAATTCATTATGAACAATAACCTCTGGATATGTCTTATTACTTTGCAAACTTGCATTGAATTACCAATCTTATATTTTTATACTATCACTTTATAATAGTCTGATGATAGAAAAAAAATCTGAATAGTATCTGTGATGCAATTAAAATTTAAAAAATGTAAGGAATTAAATATACAGTGGTACCTCAGGTTACGAACGCCCCAGCATACGAAATTTTCAGGATACGACATGAAATTCGAACATATTTTTGCTCCACGATACGAACAAAAA